CTACTTGTGTTGTTTAGATCTTTATTAGGAGGTCCTGGAAATTTCATTTTGTGTTCCAGTTATGAGAATGTTGAAGTTCACATCAAAATCCTAAACTAATGAGTGTACACATAATTTACACACAGAGATTAGAAGCGATACAATGCCTTTTATCTAAAGATGGAACCTGATTATTATCTATCTATGTACATACGTATCTATAAAAGATAGATATTTACTGTCAGAGGCTTGCAGTATAAGCAGGAGGAGAATCACTTATGACCCTCAAATATTACCTAGATGCTGAAGTAGTGGTGCTCCAAAATTGCTCTTGCAGACAAACAAAAACGTGACTCAGTGGAATGTGGATGCCTAAAGGCCTTTGACTTTCAGGGCTACTTCATAAACTTACTATATATGCTCACTACTAGACTAAGTAATGAGCACAGAGCGGCTGCAATGGTTTTGTCTGGTCCTGTAAGCAAGTACACATAGGTTTGATTCCTATTTCTTTGAGAAGTGCCCAATGGAATTCAAATTTTGTAAATGAGGGGTGATTTGGGGACTTATTTCCTTTCTCTGCCTTTACTGACACATTTTCTAAGGCTGATCTCAGAGCTGAAGTTTCTCAGAGAAGATATGAGGCACAGTCTTGATTTTTACCGTCATAAAACGTCACCACAATGGTATTTGCAAGAGAAGGTGTGTCCTCACTTCTTACTACAAAGCCAGCATTTGCATGTTCTAAGTACAACTGGACCATGGATGAGGTGATAAGCAGCCATGCTTCCTCAGCACATGATAGTATTTTGGGAACAATCTCCTCTGGGATGGCTTGATACATACTTTGCAGGGCTGTTTGTATTACTGCACATTAGGGAAAACATATTCTAAAGCATAAGTCAAGCATCTCAGGTCCTCTGCATTGCTGGGGGAAAAGACAGAAAGGGCTGAGAGATGCTGAGACCTGAAATAAGCTGATTTTAGCCAAGAGTGGAGGGGAACACCCCACTTAAACTTTGTTTTCTTCTCTGGTTTGCCAAAGTTCTCCAAGGCAATCATACTTTACCTGTCAATTTCTGAAAACAACACAAATTCTCTACTTGGTCATAATGTTTTTCTGTTTTTAATTGCACTTTATCAAATAAAATATGCTGTCATCTACAGCAAAAGAAAACAAAGTTGCCAGTTATGAAATGCTTTTTGTATCTGACTCCTCTATAAGTACCTTATTTTCTCCAGTAATTTTCAAGATTTCAGGCTAGGATCACCACAGACTCTTATATTGTATTATTTTCCTACCATGAAGTTGTTTATGTGTATTGTTTACCCAACAGACATTTCTCTTTCACTTGGTATATTCATTACTAAATAATTCTGTGAGAAGATACAGGCCACTGATTTTTTGCAATTTGCATCCCCATACTCTAAGCTATGTTGAAAGCAAAGCTTTTTGGTCCTCTTACTTTGGGAGTACATTAATATTTCTATGACCTTTACTAGATGGCAGATGAGAAGCATTAGGAATAAAATAACAAATAAACCAAAGGAAACCAATTTTTTAAAACGTGTGTTTCTGAAAGGAGCAATGGGAAAAAGAGCCTAGTCTATAAAATATGAACTTTAGCTAGAGTTATGATAATTGTTCTATTTTACCTATTTTTCCATGTCAAAATGCTTCTTTACAATCAATCCACTCAACATAATGCAAAAATGTATTTGGAGGGGTTTCGTAGTTGTGCATACAAAAATATATGGATACTACTTTGAGGTATTTAAAAAGAAATAGAGTAGTTTAAGACATGATTATTTACTGTGCACATCAAAGAGATCATATTAAAAGGACGTTCACTATACTAACAACTACTTTACACAAAATGACTTCAAATCATTTAACTTCCAAAGTCTGATGATTATAAAGAGAAATGTAAAACAGGCTGCAAATGTAGTGACTTTGTGTGTGGTGTAAACCCTCTGCTTTAGACTTTACTTTCTGAAGGCTTTAGAAGACTGCAGGAGGAAAAACAACTAAATTTTACCCAGGAAACCATTTCTCTCACTGCACATTTTTTTTCAGTGTTTTTACTACACACCGGAAGCCTACTCTGTTCCTGTTCATCTAGTTGTCGATGCCATAACTCAAAGAAACAGATCCAAAAATCATTTTTAGTGACTTTAAATTTGACTGCTTTCTGAACACTGTGTCTAGATTAACAACACCTGTGATTCAGCAAGGCATTTAACAGAGGGAAAGCAAAAGTTGTCCCATGAACTGAAGTATTTGTTGTCTGGTTTCCACCTGGAGGCAAAGCTGAGATTATTTAATAAAAATTCTCTTTCATGAGCCTTTTAAAGTACACTTTATATCATATGCCACAGTATCAAGTGAAAGGATATTCAGGGAGGAGAAGAGGTGTGGATTATTTCTCTTTAGGATAGTGTGGAAGAGTCAGAACATTTTAAAATAGCAATAACCAGATCATCATACCTCAAATCACATGAATCTAGAAGGGTTCAGATGAAATCAAGTGGTTCTGGTTATAGGATTGACATGATGGCAGGAATCCTCTCTTGTCTTTACTATCAAGAGCAATGCTTCTGCAGCCAGTAGAATCAGGCTAGACCTTACATTGAATGTGTCACATACCTTTTTATTTAGTTATTACTTTTGTAAGTCCTTCTAGAGGAAAATTTTCCCTTCTTGGGGTTTCAAGGAATACTACCTTATAATTTTAGGGATGAAATATAGTTTTATTATAATCATAAGAACTTCTTAATAGAAAAAAGGAAAGTTTAAAAACATGCTTATTTTTGTTTTAGTTAGTTTATTTTAAGTGAAATGAGGGACCTCTTTATAGTTTGGATACACAGATTTCCTCTCCATTTGCTCTTTAAGTCAGCTTGTTGATCTTTGCTCAAATTTTCAGAGAAACTGAAAGTAACTAGAAAATGACTTTGAAAATATCTCTTCTCCCCACTGTTTTGTTTTTACCAATTTTCAATTATCTAGAGTATTTCTAAGACACATCTTTCACTCATTAGATGTAGAGATTCTGGCTCTTGACCAATACGTAAAGTCAGAGGAAGCTATGCAGAGTTATCCAGCTGAGAACGAACTTATTTTAAATATAGCTTTTCCTTAGATTATTGTGCTTTAATTACACTGTGTGTAAAATGTTTTTATACAGAGAGCATCCAATCTGAACTTACTGAAGTGATAGCACCTGTCTTTGCAGTCAGTGTTCTCAGCACACTAATGGTATAAAATATAATCAGTTTTCATCTGCTAGTTTCAATGGAGTTAAAGTTTCTGATCAAGATATAGTTGTGATACTGCATTGCATTGCACAAAGACAGTTTTTACACTTCTACCCAGTGTCATATCACTCACTTTGGACTGCAGAACTGGGGCTCTGAAAGATTTCGTTGGAATCCTTCTCAAGCATATAACAACATAGTCTTTGTAACCAGTAATAATTCAATAGGAATAATAAAAAAAAAATTTGTTAAAGAGACTATGTTTTCATCTAGAATATTCACTATCTCATCTACATGTGTACCTCCAAATGGACAAGCTCAAAAGGCAAATGTAGGTTGCAACCTTCCATTACCTGTACATATGCTTTAACTTGGCATGTGTACATGCAAGGTTTAAATTTAATGCATACAAAGAGACTAACTAGATGACAGCATCTCTTTTAAAGGATCAGGGACTGGTGATTTTTGCATGATGAAAATACAGAAAGCTAGAAGTGTAGAAGTTTCTATATTGGTCAGACATTTCAAGAACTGGAATTTTTCTGCCCCACTACAGGATAAACAATCTGCTACAGTCTTATTAGGAGAAATGGTAGACCCTAGTGTCTTGCTTAGCTATCATCTCACATTCCCTAGGGGCTTGTATATCCTCTGGGACTGAGATTTGCACAGCAGTCTCAGGGATTTGCATGTTCAGTTCTCATTATTGTTGCTGAGGACTCAATCCCTTTGTTAAGGAATGTTCTTTCCGTGGATTTTCTGCCTATGTTCCCTACCTTTCAGTATTTCCAATGAGTCTTCAGTCTGCTCTTGAAAAGGCCTTTCACCTTTGGTGCACTTTATAATCCTTCACAGAAAGCCCTTCCGTAGCTATAGGAAAGCTATTTCTTACAAAGTTGTTACACACATATCTCCCTCAAAACCCGGAGAAGCTGTACTGGAGAAAAGCAAGTAGGAGAGGTAGCAGAGCAGAAATATAGATTACCTGGATGATATCAGAGACCTTGGGACAGAAACTTCTGAGGAAGCTGCAAGGCTGTCCAAATTAGAATAAACTATTTGGACTATTTTGGCCCCTGGAGCACAGTAGAACTCCCTGACCTATAAATTCATTTTTGATCTTCTCTTTTTCAGGGATGCTCCTTCCTCATATTATCTACACCAACACCAGAAAATAAAACAGTGCCAAGACAATTGCTTAAATACTGGTCCTCCATCTTCCCTATTTTACTGTTTTCAGATTAAGCATAAAAGAATTTAACCATGGATGCAAGGCACACAGTCTTAATTAGCCTTCAAACCAGAGAACATAACCTGGCTCTTTTTATTCACTACAACACACAAAGCCAGTACAGGCAAAGGTTAAAATCTCACTCTGTGACATTTAATCATCTTTGCAAGGCACACTTAGGACAGCTGATGAGAAGGGCTGCTGCTCTGTAATGATTTCATAGTTAATAATACATTCACATATGTGTGTCCACATGTGTGTGTGTGTACACAAAATGTTTATGTCAATGGTTGGAACAGCTACAGCATTATTTTCAGCTGTACTTAACAAGGCAATCCAGTACAGAGGACAAGCTTCAAGCCTTTGACATACGACTCACGTTTTTAATATGGTTTTAACTGTCTATGTTAGTAAGTCATAAATATGAAAATAATACACCAAGAATAACTGCAAACACCCACTTCTATGTTATTTCATTTTTTCTCTGTATTTAAAGTGTCCATGCATCTTCACGTTTCCCTCCTTCTCACTGTCAGTCATTGAGATTCTCAGTTATCCAGGTGAAAGGGACTGACACATTGTAAATTGTAAATGTTTCTTTTTCTGCCTTGTTGAAAGAATTCTGAGGACCAACTGGAGTAAACACTTGAGAAAAAAGTCCTTGGTGCTTATACTGAGACAAGCATCCATGTTTTGCTGTGTATCTGCAGTCACACAAAACCAGGGGAAAAAAGACTTCTAAAGCAAGTCCTCATGTTCCTAAACATCCTCTCTTTTCCCCTCTCACTGCTTTCTTCATAAACACTTATGTCCTTTGGCCTCAGAGAATATTAACAATTTGTAATATTCCATAGTGTTAGAATCAGCTGCCTTAAAAACAGTGGTGGTAAACCTTCCTAAAAGTTTTAAATTTTCCTTTCTGGATATATGTAACAAGCAGTGTAAGAGAGTGTGTTCTGCCTCTCACTATTTTTCAGCATTTCTTGAACACACACACACATAGATACACACAGTTGTCTCACAACTAACCTGCACAGTATCTATGTAGAACTGCCATGAGCATGCTGAATGCTTTCAAGCACATAAGCACATCATCCAGTGATGCCTGGAGATCATGCTGGAGATTTGACTTTCAAGACCTCTAAAAATACTTTTTTTGGCCTTGTTGCATGCCTGCTTTAAATGCCCAGTTCTCACAGTCAATAGAGAACTGACCACAGAGTTTTATGTTCATTCGGTCTCTGAACAAAAGTTGTTGTGTTTTTTTTTTTTTTTTAACCGACAGATATCTTTTGAAATCTTCAATGCTACTTGCTAAAAGGACACAACCTTTCTCTCAAAAATCAAATTAAATCTAGCACTATCTTACATTAACCATAGTGAAGCCAGTGAGTTTCCATGCAGCTTGAGGTGCAATTGGATTTGTATTTCTGTGAACCACTGGTCACTCCTTTTAAACACAAAACAAAACAACACATAAAACATTCCTTCTTATGCAAAAGCTAAACAAATCTGCCAGAATTTAATTGCACAAAAGGACTTTGAAACCCAATTTTCTGACTTCATCTTGGGATTACCTGGATATAAAAATACAATAAAAATACATCAATAAAGCGTGACATATGAAAATGCTATTCATGTTCAAAGATGAAGAAATCATATTTCTTCTGTTTTGTATCCTATGCAGTCTTGTTGACTTTCTAATCCTTCACACTGTTGTGCACGATTTTGCCCCACATACTGTAAGAGCACCATGCAATAGAAATACAGTGCAGAAGTGGTTGCATGCTGCCTGCTATATCTGATATTGCTGATATTTTTGACAGGAACATTTATTAGACCATGTTAGCAGTAGACAAGAGATTCCCTCAGATACCCTTAACTGTCTTCAGCAGACTGACCATACATTGTAGACATGTCAAATAAAGCAGCTATAAAATATCCACCACATGCAATCACTTGCTACTTTATGAGAAATTGTTACAATCATGGCTTGAGAATGATCAAAGAGAGAAAAAAAAGGGGCCATCACTTTAAAAACAGTTAGAATGAGACCATGTCCTATATGAAAAGCACATGGAGGTTAAGCGGGGTAGTCTGACTCCAAATTCCAGGAATAATCTCCCTTCTGTTCATCTCTCCACTACAGTCTAGCTTGACCTGGAATTACTGAAATCAGCAGGATTTTTTTATAATTTATTTTACAGAGGGAAAGAATCAAATGTTAAGCTTTTATCTTTTATGGGCATCACTAACTAATATTGAGGGGAGATTCTCAGGATCCCTCATAGGTTTACATAGCAGTTTCATAGAGGACTAGAACCTTCCATCTTAACTCAGTGAACACTAATTATACTCCACAAGTAGGACCAGAAAAAGTAAAACAGATCTGTTAAAATTTTGCAACCAGGGATACTGCCTACCCACGGGAATGTACAACTCAGGAAAATGGTGGTAAAACTGCTCTACAACCTCTGGACATGAAAGTTGGGAGATTCTGTCCTTCTTCTGGAAAGAATTCTTTAGCACAGAACAAGAACCATGTTCTTGATATCCACTATTAATTACACCCCCGTTAACATCTGTGTAAAGTGAAAGGAAATAACTGATGTGTTTTCCTTAGATCACAGTGGCACCTTCTTTTTGCTTTTGAAATTTGGTACCTATCTGAAGTCTCCTAATAATCTTTGCTAAGATGCTTTTGCCTTTTTTATTTGTCTGGGACATTTACAAGCAAATTAATGTTGCATCAGGCTGGTACGGGTACAGCTTTATTAGCCTACAGAGACTCAGGACTTCATTGCATCTTTTCATTCCCTGTCAACAACAACCCATGACTACAGATGACTGCCTATTTTCCAAGTTTAACCACAAGAGAAAAAGAGCAGAGGTGACATGGATGGGCATGGAGGGCAGAAAAATAGAAATCAGTGCATTTATGACAATGATGAAACACCTGACAAGGTGAATTCTTTAAAAGCCATGAAGCTCCCTAAATCTCCTCAAGACTTTTTCTGTATACTTTTCACAGGTAGTGCTGAAAAAGAGTCTGATGTGTTGTGAACAGAATCCTTAGGCCAATGAAACAGTTTAATTAGAGGATAAATTTCTCAGCAAAAAGTGGGAATTTGGGATAGTGTGATCATCCTAGATCATTACAGATACCAAGAAAACACATATAAAGTACAAAATCCTAAAGGATAGACAAAACCCAAATATTTACTATTACAGCTCATTTGGGGAGACAGGGACATTCACTCAAGGAGGTTCAAAACATGATCATAGGTTGAACCAGAATGAACACTTAATTAAAATAGCTTCCCCCTTCTATATGGGTAGTAGGGAATCTTCCAGAAGGATGGGTGTGGGTACAACAAATATGGAAAGGGAAGGAGGGGGCTTGCCCAAACTAGGTAACTAGGGGAGGGGTTGCAATCACATATGGGCAAGGAGGGAAGGGTCTTTAACCATAAAAGGGACAATTACATTACAGCATTTTTCAGCCAATGGGTGAACAGAGAGAAAGAGACTAACAACTTATAGGTATTCCTATAAGGATTATGGGGTACAGTTTAAGAACTTTACATTAACAATACTAGAATTCAAATAACAGGGTATTTAGTTTTTGAATGTCCTTAGTGGATTTGAACATCATCTTCAGTTGACTCCTTTACGGTCTCCACAGATCTTCTGTACTGTTCTTCCTCTTCTTCCTCATGTCCATCTCCCACAAGTTACTAAGCTTTTCCAATGATACTGAAAGAAAGGCTAGGTTGGTCCTCCAACAGTGTCAGAAGCTATTTGTACTAACAACAGGAAATGGATTTTTCAGTTGTTTTGATGTGTCCAGCTCTTTTGAAACCAACAAATTAGACATCTAAGTACTTATACTAGCTCATAGTTTTAAAAAGCCTTGCATGGAAGAGCAAGAGAGAATAAAGATTGCTAATTCACTTCATGAGGCAGCCAGAGAGTGACAGGGCGCTATGATGATTTTGTAGTCACAGGGTCCTGGGCTGCATCAGTGTGGTGGCATGGCATGATTTTGCCTCTCACTGCCCTTTAAGTAAAACAACTGATTTTTAACAACTATTTTTGTATAGAAAACAGCCATTTCATAAGTCTGCCAACACAAGTTTAGAAACTTCACACAGTTTTCCTTTCAGGACTTTGTAACTTTGACATTCATGAGCCTCTTTGAAAACACAGAGGTTAGTCACATATACAGTCAAAAAAGTCACCTTCCTAAAGCATAGCTGACAATGTTCCAGAAAAATTCTAAAACCACAAAAGGATTTCAGATTAGCATCACAATAATGTGGTGGAATCCAATCCCAACTGTTCTGTATTTTTTAAACCAATAGAATGTCATGCTTAACATTTAATTGTTTTCTAACTAAATAAATACAATTATGATTTTCCCTGTAATCTTCCTGAACAAGCTGAGAAATATACCTCATACCTACCCATGCATTCGTGCAATTACTGATGGGGTTGTTGATGGAAGATTAGAATTTCCCGGGTGAGTTGCTGATCAATGAACCTTACCAGTGTATCCAGGGATAGCTGGAGTGCTAAAGGAAACAGTTAAAGGAGGGGGGAGGGAGGGTGGGTGGAGAAAGAGTACATGAAATGACTAGAGGCTTGAAATATAACTTACAGGTCAGTTCTAAAATGCCTAGTGTTTATCAAAGATAGATGGGGTAAAATGTCTTCATAGTATGATCCTTAGTCCTTAGAATGTATCAACTGCCATAGCTTCTTTAAGATCCAGCTGATGATCTGGGCCAAAATCTCTGGTTAGATATGGTGAAAGTGGTTTCTTTAGAGACTTTTTTTTTTTTTTCAATTTGTTTAAGTTTAATATCTGTATGATATTAATGATTACAAGCAACATTTAATCACAAAGAAGAAATGGAGCACAGGGCTTGCAGAGACCACAAAAAGCAAAAAAATATACTTTAAAAATGTATTAGAGATTTAGCTTATATTTAGTTTCCACATTAAACATGGAATTTAGATAGCAGGCTTTATGACAACAGGTGTGATTTTTCATGAGCTAAACCACAAGTGGTTTTCCAAATTATTCTAAAGTTCTCTAAATTTCCCCTTGAATTTATTAAGATGTAATATTAACAGCACCACTTAGACATATAACTTAAATTCTAGTTCTAGTGCACCAGTGGACTGAGACATTAATTGCCACATCTTGGAAAACTAAAGCCTTTTGTTAATTCTGATGCTAAGTTTTAATGTGAAAATGAAAAGCAGAGTTCCTTAAAGAGATGGAGTTAAAAATTCTACTAGTCTGAGAAAATTTTGATAATAACTACTGCAAGATGAAGTGAAGATGGACAAAATTAAAGAAAAAACAGGTACTAATATGAATTCAGACAAATAGTCCATGAATATTAGAAATAAAACAATATAAACGCCTAATATGGTATTTTTTTGCAGCTCAAAATTATTCAGAGTATCATCAATATTGTTCTATATTGACAGCTCAAAATAGGACACTGTTGAAGTATACATACATCCAGATTGCCCATACACATGGAGATAAAAGCTCATGACAGGCTGTTTCATCCACTGTATCGACTAAATATTTGGCATTAGACACCTTGTCTCCATTAGTCCCTTTAAATGATAAACAGTGCCTTCTTTAAAATAATTTCTGAGGTATTCTTTGGTTCCCCTGTACTGTGGGTAAAAATAAACAATTCCTTTGATAATAAAGTGCATAGAGCTATTAGTTTCATACAGCTGATCAGCTACTTCTCCAGAACTAATTTCAGCATAGGATACAAAAATGGGCATACGTGAGCGATGGAGTTTATTAGACTTTGTGTGTCTTTGACTTCTGTACTAGGAAACTTGGCTCTGAAATTCCTTCCCAGAATGGAAGAGGTAATGACAAAATGCTGTATCTACTAACCAGGGTTATAATGAAGGACTGTGGATGAACTATATTTGCCATGGAAGCACCGGGGAGATATGTTGTGGTCTTTGTACCCATAGTTAGCAGAAGCACCATCTAGGTCTTTCTCTTATTTTGGAGTAGCCTTGCACTAACCCATACATTCATACACTGCTATGCTCCCTGGGCCTGCTCCAGTATACGACCTGCTGGAGAAGATGGCTTTGTAGAATCAGTACAGAAGTTTGGCAGCACTTGGTGAGTTGTTCCCTATAGGGAATCACCAAGTATTTGACTGAGCACCTAACAAATCTACGGTCTGTCTTGACAGGAGCCATGCAGGTGCAACAAATAGGCTTGAAAATCCAGTATAGTAGCAGGACATATTTTCAGAACTGGCCAAAATTACTTGCATCCAAATGTGCTTTTTCATGTCAAAGCAGACAATTGTTAGGTTATGTGTAGATTAGATGACTCTGTAGGAAATTTCTTCTGCATATCAGGATCCCTCCAAGGGACACAAAGGATATTGGGTGGCTGTGAGTATAAGCACATGCATCCATCCAAACCTGAAAACATACCTGATACCACCTTGAAGGAATCAGTCAGACTGTGAAAACAGTTTTATTACCCTGCTGATGGGATACATCCCAAGACACATCTCTCACATGTCATGGAATTCCACTGACTTCCTTGAAATTTTATGGATGTCACACAAAAAAGAAGCAAATCACAACAAGAAGTCCTATATTAACTTGCAATATTTCATAGCCTATTTGAAGTTAACTCACATAATAACTACACAACTGTGGAGATATTAGAATACACTGTGAGGCATCTGATTGATAGAAACTTCTCACCTTTAAAACTTGCAAAAGTAGAAGATAAAAGCATCATAAATGTCCAAACATGACCCAAAAGTCAGTCTGAAAGATGATACTAGATGAAGATTTGTTGTGGACTGTCTGTTCAAAACAAGAAGTTGGTACATTCATTACACATGGGATGGATACAGATTTGAAAGAGAAGAGAGGTGGGCAGGGAGAAGATAAAAGTACTAGGAAAGTAAGTAAGCTTACAATAAAGTAAAGTAGCTGCTCTCCTGGGAACCTGCAAAGAAGATGCAAAAATGTGCTGCGGTTATGTAGGTGATAAAGCAGAAGAAACTGAGGTTCAAAAAATACTCCCTTGGGTTTTTGTGTTTTTTTAGATCATGCTGTCTAGCTCTTGTGTGCTTTCTCTGATGAGCTGCTAAACCATATTGCTGCTGCTGAAGAAAACAACTAAGTGCCAAGCTACCACTGGGCAACACACAAAACTCCTCTGTGGTTATGCTGTCGTCATCAAGCTTTCTTTCTCTAACCGTGACATCTCTTTTGTTCGTGCACTTCCTTATTATCGTCCTAGCAGCTCTTAGTCCTGACACTGAGAAACACTGCAAAACATTGTGTTGGCAGTTGAATATGTGTAAGCACTAAGATTTTGCAATTGGACTGAAGTGATTCTGAGTGCCTCTACTTTGGTGTGCCTCTGCTTTGTATGCCCATAGAGTCATAGAATCATTAAGGTTGGAAAAGACCTCTAAGGTCATTGAGTCCAATTGTTAACCCAGGACCGCCAAGTCCAACACCAAACCATGTTCCTCCGTGCCACATCTACAAGTCCTTCAAATATCTCCAGGGAGGATGACTCAGGCAGTCTGTTCCACTGTTTGACAACCCTTCCCATGTATAATTTTTTCCTAATATCCAGTGTAAAACTCCTCCGGTGCAACTTGAGACCATTTTTTCTCGTCCTGTTGCTTTTTACCTGAGAGAAGGGACTGACCCCAACCACCCTCCATCTGGTCGTCAGGTAGCAAGATAAGATCCTCCCTGAACCTTGTGTTCTCCAGGCTAAACAATTCCAACTCAGGTCCCTCAGCTGCTCCTCGTAAGATTTGCACTCCAGACCCTTAACCAGCTCCATTTCCCTTCCCTGGACATGCTCCAGCACCTCAGTCTTAGTTCTTGGAGTGAGGATCCAAATCCTGAACACATGATTTGAGGTGCAGCCTCACTATCTCAGGATGGCTTTGAAGACTTTTATTTCCTGGTAATATTCAGGAAAAGTAGTGTGAACTTAATTTAGTTGGCCCTCCATACTGATATTTAGAGCTGTTTGAGATGCCTTAAGGTATCTGAGATAACCTCCTATAGCCCAGGATTCACAGGAGATAAACATTTTTCTGAAACAGCAGCTGGAAGTGATGGTCTAGGGTGCCTCCAGGGTACTGGATGCCTAGGTTTGCCATGTAAATTCCATGTCAGCTATGTTTGTGGAAGCAAATCAAGATTTCCTCAACCTTGGATCTAGCACTTCAGCTTGAGCAATCAAGGTATCCAAGTTCTTTGTGCAAAAATTCTCTCTAGTGAAAGCACTACGGTAGACCTTGCCCTTCAAAGGAAAGAGTTCCTAACATCTTACTCTTTCTTAGAAATACTCCTGTATAAATATCATAGAACTAAATCACCATATTAAGTTATTAACTAGCTCTTCTTGTTACTGTAATTATAAAATAGGCCTCTCTGATCTCATTTCCAGTACATAAGACTTGCAACTGGCTTCCACCTTAAATTCCCTTTCAGGAAGACTGACATGTCACATGTTTGAGGCCCTTCTTGATCCTATTTATCTCCATGATCCTACTTGCTAAACAGAGTAACCTGTGATAAAAATGCGTCAGACATGATCCTGTTTCAGGAAACTCAATGCATACACTCTCTTGTTTTGGGAAAGAATATACCTGGAATATTTGTAAAGTCAAAACAAAGTGCTTCATGCAGAGAATGGGAATGATAGGATTTTTGAGCAGTGCATTATGAGTTGCACTTCATATCCTTCTCCCTCAGCCATCAAAGCAGGATAGGGAATGCATACTTACAAATGGATTTGGGGTTTCTAAAAGGATAAAACCACCGAAATGGCAACTCCCTAGAAAAAAATTGAATCTTGTTGACCTGAAACATTTTGTTTCTACAATTTCTGGTTTATTCTGCTTTCAACTTTTTCAGCCCCTCCTTTTTAGTATGGGATAGTATTTTTCAGAAACAGTAATGCATTTCAAGCAGTAGCAAAATCTCATTTGACAAATGTCAGTGTAGGATATGTAAGCACACCCCTGCCCCCTGCCTCAATCTCACCAATGAGTCAAACTGGAAAACCACTAAAAAGGCGTCCATGCTGGACAAGCTATTAGTTTCTGAAGAAAAGATACGTTGAGAGAGAGCTTTTAGGCATCCCATATAAATGACTGTGCAAGGTGCAAGGCAGCAGAGGGTCCTGTTCCCAGCTAATTGTGCCTGTGAGGTTTTCATGATAACTTGAAATTATAAGGGACGCATGCATACAGTCAGTTGGAAAATGACTACTCTGAAGAAATATGACCAAAGTCAATACAGATATACTGATGTGATACTACCATTTTGCTAAATATGCTTGAGAAACCATGATTAAAGGGGAGTTTCAGAGAATAGCTTTGTGCAAGAACTGCAAGACTTGAAACACTTAGGACTTTATCTTCTTAGAAACTGTATATATTAAGTTCCCATTTCAATCAAGTGCTTTTGGACAGATCCTGTCCTCTCTCTGACACATGCAACTGTGAGCTTGAACAGG